CCCCCCCCCCCCCCCGCAATCTGGAATCCAGATCCCAGGCAAACGAGCACGCTTTAAAAGGTAGAAAGAACGAAATAACAAACGCTGGAACCTGGGTCTGGTTAGGAACATCACCGCAAAACGCAATAACCTAATGGTGCTCACTGTCCCTCAGGCGAATTGGGGACAGGCCGGAACTACACTTCCCAGAAGGCAAAGCGGCGGGGCGGTGCTAAAAACACTTTTTAACCTCAAGTTGTCTCCAGGTGCTACAGGTTTGCTTAGAAACTCCAGTCCCTCTTGTTAGCGCTCCTCCACCCCAGCCTAATTGGCTCTGTAGTCCGTTGCGTGGGAGGGCGGCTTCGGGCGCCCCGGGCAGCAGTTGAATGGGGACCCTCATTCCCGCGTCCTCACGGTAAATGAAGTCCTTTCTCTGGTCCGAGATGTAGCTTCTCGGGCCGCGTCAGAGCAAGAGGACTACATTTCCCAGAGGAGCGCGGGGCTGCCGGGCGGCGTGGGGGCGGTGCCTCACGTCTGGTACAGTCATCCTAAGCCTCTTCGGCGGGACTGTGATGGCCGGAGAGATGACGATCTTAGGTCAGTGACCAGGAGGGTCCTTTGCGCTGTTGCGGGCACCGGAGCGGTTGAGGGAGGCCGGGGTGTTGGGTCCCGCTGGCGCAGCGGGTAGGGCGCCAGAAAGGTGACTTAAGAGGCAGGCGGTTTGGGGCTGTTCGCGACGCCGGGTTGGGGGTCGCCCCTAGGAAGGCCCGGGCCGCAGTAGGCCCGGGTAAGGCCGGCGGCGACCTCTGCATACATCCCAGGGACGTTGGGCCTCGGGAAGGGTTCTTTCCTACGCAACGTCGATTTTTGAATCGTTGGTTGAATTGGGGCCTTTGAGAGGCTGCCAGAATGTGCATCTCCTAGACCCCTAGACCCCTTTGTGGAGGAAGGGAGAGGAACAGCAGCAGCATCCCGAGCTGTAGACTCATGGGATGCTGGATTTTGAGAGAGCCAGACACCTCTTTGATGTATAGTCCAGTGTTCTTTCCACCGATCCGGAGGAATTACCCTCTCCGGAGAAGGTGATGAAATGCTCCCGAAAATGTGTACGTAGGGGCAAGAGGAAGGTGGGATTGGCACCTGATGTCATTTCATTAAGTGTTGATGAGGATGACCTAATAATTAGTAAAGGCGACTCCTACAAATTGGTGTTTTGAGTTGTATGTAACGTGGATGGACACAGGTGTATAGCACAGCCTCCTGAAACCAAATAACAGATTAGCTGTAAATACGAATTGACTTCTTTCTCCATCACTTAAAGTTTACAGTCTGCGTGGTGTTTGTTCGTATTTGGCTTTTTCAGCAATTAATATTTATTGAACAGTCTTCTACTGGCTGGGAACCATTGGTGCAGGGGATACAGCGTGACTAAAACCTGACTTCTAAGAGCTTCCATTTATGTCATCATCAGGGTTACACACTTGTAATTCTTCTCCGAAATATCACCTCTGCAAGATGTCCTAAACTCGTATTTAATACGGAAAAAGTTAACTATGTTCTGTTATGAAGTGACCGTTTAAAAATATCTAAGCAATTTCCAAAATTATTTTAATCCAGTTTATCCATTATATCCTTTGGAAAGGAAAAAAGAGAGGGGGGATAAAGAGTTTCACCCTTACAATAACAGAGCTTTTGCTGTGGAAATTTTAATGCTAGTTTCTTTTTAATAATGATATCTAAAGCTAATTATAAAACTATAAAATCTAAATATCATTTGATCAAGAATTGGATTATATTCTAGCTTTTGCTCCAGATGAATGACTTCTGTCAGCATTAGCACAATTATTATCGAAATGTTTTTATTTTTTATTCCTTTACTCACCCATAAGTGAAGCACACAAACATACAGGGGTTTTTTTGTTTGTTTGTTTTTGTTGTTACTTCATTTTAATTGTATTATAGTCAGTTTGCAATATGAAAAACTTGATGTTTGAGAAATGTTATCGTGAGTACTATAAAAGGAAATATTTGGAGAGTATTTTTAGTCTAGTATGGAAGCGTGATAGTAAAGGGATTTTACTGTTGTAATTTTGCACATTGTACTAGTTTGATAAGACGCAACTTGTAATTTGCCTGTATTTCAGGATCAGCTGTTCTGACTCTCCTGTTGGCTGGCTATTTCGCGCAACAGTATTTACCACTGCCTACTCCTAAGGTGATTGGAATTGACCTTGGCACTACCTACTGTTCAGTTGGGGTGTTTTTTCCTGGAACAGGAAAAGTAAAGGTCATTCCAGATGAAAATGGGCACGTCAGCCTGCCCAGCATGGTGTCCTTTACTGACAACGATGTTTATGTGGGGTATGAAAGCTTAGAGCTGGCGGACTCAAATCCTCAGAACACAATATATGACGCTAAAAGATTCATAGGCAAGATTTTTACCCCAGAAGAGCTAGAAGCTGAAATTGGCAGATACCCATTTAAGGTAAGTGAAGCCAAAATCTATTTTAACTTTAGTTCAGCATACTGTTTCAATTAATGCTTTGGCTTCAAGTTACAAAACATTCTATTTCAACAGACTCAGTTTGCCTGGAAGTTATATTGTCTCATATAACAAACAATCCCACAGCAGCTCCAGGGTTAGCTAATTCAGTGGTCCCGCAGTATTACTGAGGACTTAGGACATTACCATCTCCTCACTCTGCTATCCTCAGAATGTCTGTACAGCTCTTTCATTGTAGCCAGAGGCTAATGAAGCCCCATGTACCTATAGATGGGTGGATGGATAAATAGATATTCTTCCTGTGTTTGTGTGTATACATATTTATATACATAAAAAGAGATCATACTATGGGTGGATGGATAGATATTCTTCCTGTGTTTGTGTGTATACATATTTATATACTTAAAAAGAGATCATACTAGGCATGCTGTGTAATGACTTGTTTGAAACTCATCAATATATCATGGACAGTTAGTCAGTGGGCTCACATCATTATCTTTCATGGTTGTGTGAAACGACTGTTCCGCCAATTAATTGTCCAGTCTCTGTCAGTGTAAGTTTTATTTTATCCCTGGTTTTCCACTATTATTGGAGCTTCAGTGAATATCCTTGTACATGTATGTTTTTACATTTCTCTGATAATTTCCTAAATTTGAATTCAAGAACTGGAATTGATAGACCAAATGATGGCATGTTTTTAAGTGTTTTGATTTGTAATGCCAAATTGTGCACCGAAAAGTTTATGTGCCCATATCTATTTTTTAGACTGCCTATATCTTCACTAGTTATTGTCTTTCAGTCTTTGCCAATAGATAAATAAAAAATGGTATCTTGTATTAATTTGCATTCCTGTGATTTCTGTTGAGGTCAGACTTTTAAAAATGTGTTTATTGGTATTTTCATTTTCTTTAGTGATCCACCTCTTACCCTTAATCCTGTTTTCTTTGGGGGTATTTATTGTTCCCTTAATGACTATAAAATACCTTTGTGATGTGTTTTCAGTATTTTTTCCTTTTTTTAAAAAAAACTGACGTATAATTTTATTTTCGAACTGTCAAGACTGTTAAATTTTTATGTGGTAAAATCATCTCAATAATTTTTAAAAAATGTTTTTGGACTCTTACCATGCTTACAGTGGCCTTTCCCATCCTATCCACTTGTATTTTTTTTCTAATGCTTTTATATAAGTATTGGTAGGTTTAGGTTTTGCTGGGTTTTTTTTTTTTCTTTTAAACATTTAAATGTTTATTCCATGTAGGGTTTTTTTCCCCCCTTTTGGTTAATTATGAAGTGAGATTCTAAATAAATAGATTTTAAAATAGTGGTATCAGTGCTGCTTATTAATTAACGCATCATAAAACTTCTCAAATTTTTATTCATTTTCAAAGGAGCAAAAAAACAATCTCTCCAGGCATTTCTTAGGTTTACTTCTTTGTTCTCTTTTAGCTTCTTTCTTAAGACCCTTTACTAATTTGTATTTTTTCTTATGTAATGATAAAATCATATAAAGCTATACAGTTTCCTCTAAATTACAGCTTTGGGTACATCACTTATTGATCCAAGAGTTTTTTTAAAGGGTTTTTTTGTTTGTTTTAAGTGATCATATTTTTTTGTTGTTTCTGTTTCATGATCACTCTGGGTTTATTTTAAGGACCTTATTTGGGTCTTATTTTATATATTTTATATATATATATATAGGGTCTTATTTTAAGGACCTTATTTTAAGTGTTCATAGCTTGTTTTTGTTTTCCCCAGGCAGGTAAAATACTTTTTGGAAGGTCAGATTTTCTTAATTGAAAACTAATTATGTAGTCTTGAATGATTGGGGTAAACTTCTTATAATTTCTTAGACTAATTCTCTTTTACTATTGATGTTAACACAAACTATTGGTGAAACTAGTATGTTTTAGAATTAGTCTAATTTTTTAAATGTACAAATGTACAACTACATTAGCAGGAAAAAGATGCTAATACATGTTTCCATGGAAACAAGAATGTGAGTGATATTGATTCTTAGATAAGAACATATCGAAGTACTAAAATTATTCTTGTTAATATGTACCAGAACATTCTTTCAATTATCTATTACTTTGGGAAATAAATTAATTTTTTAAAAAAGATCTTGAGTCACAAACATGACTTAGCCACTGTTATTCCTTCTATTTCATCATTCATCTTTTCTTTCGTTTAACAGATATATATGGTGAATCTTCTATGTTTCAGTTATATGCTTAGTAATGAATTTTATTTTTCTGCCCTTATTGAGAACTGTGGAGTGGATTCATTTTATAGCTTTTAAAGTATGACTTTTAATAACCTCTAATCTTAGTAAATGCACTTGCTAGATAACAAATGAATTTTATGAACCTTTAAAGGTAAATTTTGATTGAATACATTCCATATGTGTATGTGTGTTAGTTTATGTGTATGTACATATATGTAGATATGTACACACACAGTTTTATATATATATTTTTTTATCTTTGAAAATCTTATTCACAGGTTTTAAACAAAAATGGAATGGTTGAGTTTTCTGTGACAAGTAATGAGACCATCACCGTTTCCCCAGAATATGTTGGCTCTAGACTGTTGTTGAAATTAAAGGAAATGGCAGAGGAATATCTTGGAATGCCAGTTGCCAATGCTGTTATTTCTGTACCAGCAGAATTTGATCTAAAACAGAGAAATTCAACAATTCAAGCTGCTAACCTTGCAGGTAATATCACTTGCCTGAGTTACATTTTGCTCAAAATTTTGTTAGGCTGAAAATCTGTAGTAATGTGTATCATTTTGCAAACCACCTAACTAGGCACCTAGACAAACTATATGGTAGATAAATCAGATGGATTTTTATATAGGTTTACAAACAATTTAGAAAGCTCCATGGTACAATGTAAAATGTGCATATTATGACAGCAGCCTATCAGGCATATGAGAAAGGCTAAGAAAGAACATGGACACATGTTAGCAATGAGGAATTTTTTCTTCTAAAATTCTTTTGATGTTAAGATGAATATGTTTTTTAAAAATCTGAGGTGGGAGAAAATTCATTCAACACCATTCAGCAAGTATTAAGTGCCTAGGTAAACAAAACAGATAAATCCGTTTTCTCATGGAGCTTATACTCTATTGGAGAGAACAGAAAATCAGCATTGAAGATAAGTATATTATGGCATTTCTTACTTAGCATTATTAACATTTGGGGCTGGATTATTCTTTGCTGTGGGGAACTGTCCTGTGTATTATAGGGTATTTTGCAGCACCCCTAGCCTGTACACACTAGAAGGTAGTGGCACTCTCCCCACCAAGTAGTGATAATTTTATGTCTCCAGACAATGCCAGATGTCCCCAGAGGAACAAAATGACCTCTGGTTGAGAGCCTTGATACAATGTATGTCAGAAAGTAACGTGCTGTAGAAAAAAAGACAGGATAAGGGGAGGGGGTGGGTGATCAGAGAATAGGGGGATTTATAGGTTTTAAAGAGAGCGTCAGGTAGACCTCATTGAGAAAGTGACATTTAAGCAGATTTGAAGGAAGCAAGGTTGTGAGCCAAGCAGTTATATGGAGGAACTGTGTTGTAGGAGAGAGAGTGCCAGTGTAGCAGCCATAAAATGAGAATTTGCTGGTACATAAGAAGATAGGAAGTTGGCCAGTGTGGCCAGAGCAGAGTGAGTGATGAAGTCAGAGAGCTAAGGGGAAGGGTAATTATGGTCTTTGAATAAATTCTTCAGAGTTTCACTAGTTTCTATGGCTCGTGATACATAAAGCCATACTACTTTCACAGCCGCTCATTATGTGTGGCAGTTAGTTTAAAGCAGGAGTTTTGCTCAAGGAAATCTGATCTTTTGCTTGCACATTTACTGTTTAACTTTACCTTGAAGTCAGATTTTGCTGTATATTTCAGATTTGCATTCAAGGGTCTTGCATTTTAAGTACTTTTTAAAAGTGTCATTGTAGCTATTGGAGCCTATCATCTGGATTTTTCATTTTATTATCATTTCTTCTCTGTTTATTCATGTGTTCTTTTTATCAAAAAGTCATTTTTAAAAGAAGAGAGCACACTAAGCTTACCTCATTTCTATAGCAGTTTGTTACAGTGCATAATGACTAAAGTTTATTTGCTCATATATTCCCAAGTAAAATAGGAAAATTAGAAGAGGCTGAGAGATTTTTTAAAATTAAGTATTAATAAATAATAGAATGATGTATTCTGTGAATCTGGGCCTTTATTTCTTTATACTAAATCTTCTTTTAGAATAATTTTAATGACACCCATTTAGAAGAACGTATATTTACCCTTCCCATGTCATTATTTTTATTGGGTTTGTGACTGTGTACTCAGTGGAGTTCACATCAGAGAAGATACTAATGTGTTGTAAGATTAAATGAGAAGAAATTTCCTAATAGTGTCCTCTCATGATTGTTCTTCCCTCCAACCAATTTTATAGGACTGAAGATCTTAAGAGTAATAAATGAACCCACAGCAGCAGCTATGGCCTATGGTCTCCACAAAGCTGATGTCTTTCACGTCTTGGTGATAGATTTGGGCGGAGGAACTCTAGATGTGTCATTGCTGAATAAACAAGGAGGAATGTTTTTAACCCGAGCGATGTCTGGTAAGAAAAATAGAGGGAGCGTTAAAGAGATTGAGGCACGTTAACATATCTAATGTGTAAAGTGTTCATTTAAAATTTTTTCCATATTCTTTGCGTTCATTTTGGTAATCTTCTGTACATGTAATCTTATGCCACCACTTATTGTATTTATAGCAAAAAGTTAAGTCTCAAAAAATAACTGGACATCCTGTAAGTCAAATAAATATACTGCCATTTGTAGCTAACTGAGCTAGTAGTTTTCACCTCCATGGTAAAGGGAACAGAAGGAAAGAAATTATTTTAAAATGAAGGACGATCAGTTTATTTCATTTAATAATCTGTTTCCCAAAATAGATATCTTTAGGAAATCTAATAATAGTATTTTGCATTCTAAATTTTTTTTTAAGGTTAATTTAGTTTTAGGAATTAAGCCTGTGGAGCTTAAGTTACAGGTGGCCTAACTGGACTCCATTTAGAACAAAGTTCAGTGGTGGGCATTTATATTGCATTACTCTTTTCCTAATTAAATTATTATTTCTATTTTTCAGCTCTTAATCATTTAAACAAAAGGATTTTTTAAAAAAGAAAATGCTTACTGGTACTTTTTAATTAAAAGAAGGACTTCTTTCTGTTGAAAATAATGACATTTAGTGTTTTTAAATTGCTACTTAAAAGCCAGTCAGTGGGGCTTCCCTGGTGGCGCAGTGCTTGAGGGTCCGCCTGCCGGTGCAGGGGACGCGGGTTCGTGCCCCGTTTCGGGAGGATCCCACATGCCGCGGAGCGGCTGGGCCCGTGAGCCATGGCCGCTGGGCCTGCGCGTCCGGAGCCTGTGCTCCGCAAATGGGAGAGGCCACAACAGTGAGAGGCCCGCATAACGCAAGAAAAAAAAAAAA